CACGCCTTGAGAATTATCAAAGCTCTTAAGAGGGTGAAAATCTGGAACCAGGATAAAGAAACCTAGAGAAGAGAAAAGATAGGAAAAGGAGCTCCGAATGAAAATCAAGAAAGAAAGGTAAACTAGAAAGTAAAGATGTAACTAAATTAGAAGAATGGTTTAGAAGTGGCATGGGGATTATATGAGTGTGTATGAAAGGAGACAAGCAAAGATTGGTCACAGATAGTAAATTAAGATGAAAAATTGCAAATTAAGGCTTTAAGCATTAAAATATTATTACCCTTTTCCTTTATAAAAGTAAAATGTGCTCATTGTGGAGGAGTTGAAAAATTTAAAAAGGAGAAGAAAAATGTACCCTTAGTTTGTCACTCATGAAGCTGCTGTTAACATTTTGGTATATTTTCTGCTAGTCTTTATTTCTGCTGAGTTTTTGAAAGGTGTTGTTTGTTTTATATAGTTGAGATAACACTGTTTATGCCTTTAAGCATCCCTTGTCTAACATCAACATATCCTAACACAAGGTATTTAATGGAAACTTCATTTTAAACATCTGCCTAATATTAACAATAGCCAGTTCTCCTTTCTTTCCTGCTAAGAGAACTCAGGTTTGTTCAGGTGGTCAAGGGCTTCAGGCTCGAAGGTTGACTCCATTTCCACTCAAAAAAGGTGACTTTTAATTTAGTTTAAGCCAATCATGGTACAATTCTATTACCCTTATCAGTGATTGGCTGAGGAAGGGGCAAGTGACATACTTCTGACCAATAAGATATAAGGGCAAATCTATATGTTAGATTTGTGAAAGGGATTCTTAGTTTCTTAAAAGTGTTAGAAGGAAGACATAATCCCTTTCTCTGCCTACGGAATGTGTGTAAGGAGGAGGCAGCGGAGCTAGTGCTTGGCGCTGTCAGCCATTTTGTGGCCATAAAGGAAGCCCAGCATACGCACTAAAGATGGAAGAACAGAGAAGTAGGAAGAATTGGACCTTAGTTGATCGTGACACTCCAATTAATTATGCATCCCTGAACCCTACTTTGAGACTTCTTGTCATGTAAGAAAATAAATTCCCTATTACTTAAACCCCTTTTAGGTGGATTTTCTGTTCTATGCAGTAGAGAACATTCTAACAGATATAGCATGATAATTTACTTAAAAATTTTCCTCTTATGGGCTATAAGGTCATTTACAGTTTTTCACTATCAGTTTTTGCCTGGGATAGTTTCAAGAGAAAAAAGTTACATAGCATAAATAATAAGGTAGCTTGTGTTGGGGGGAAAAAACAACAAGCAATGAAAAAAAGAAACAGGAATGAACTTGAAATATCTCAGGTCATCGAAGCTGAATCATTCTGAATCTCCACGCCCTTTATTGCTCATTGCTGTCAGCAGAGGTGGTTATCAGTGACAAGTTACACTATAGAAGGAAAAATTGAGAAACAGTCTCAATATAACATACTAATAAAGGCAAACACAAACCCCTAAAATACAGAAGTCATTCCTGTTTGCAGTGCATAATATGGGTTCCTCAATTGTTTAAATCTTTCTTTATTATAATAATATTAAAATTACTTTGATAATAAGAAAGGCAACCGATTATGTTAATACATTTCTTGAATCAAAATTTGCTGTTGATTCTACACAGTGTTTAGTGCAAATGCATCTATTTCGTCATGTTGACAATCTTCAAGAACTAATGTTTCCCAAGTGCCTTTCAAGGAGAGGCTGCCCCTCCAGAATCAAAGTTGGGGTAAAAGTATCTGATTGAACATTATTTAAGTGAAGAGGTCCAGATGCCTGTGCTAACATCAACAGATGAACAGATGAAACTCCCAGTAACCACCTGTGGTTTTATCACTAGTGGTAGTTGGGCCTATTTATAATTTGAGATTTTTGATTTGTTGACTTTTTAAGTATTTAGTTGTTCTACAGTCAAATTTTAAAAATGCTTCCTCATGTAAAAAAGGGTGTGGCTGTGCAAAATAGCAATTTTAATTGCTACAATTATAAAGCACTAGTACTACAATGACCTACATTTCAAGGTTAGCATCAGTAAGAGCACCTAACACACATTCATAATTTTATAATAACAATTGATTACAATGTAATTCATTTGTAGAAATTATTTTTAAAGCCTTACTGCGTAGACTACACAATGAGATTACAGTCACAGCTCAAGAGTAAATACCTAACTTGTTCATGAAGCTCTTCAGTGCTGTGGTTATGACGCATGATATTTCCAACTCCTGGTCTCTTGCTAGGAGCATTGATTCATGAGCTGACTATGTTAGAGAGTGTAAGAAAAACACGGGCTAATCTAAAACTCAAATAATGACTCTTCTCTGAACCAAAAAAACCAGCATATCAATTTCCTAAGATACAGGATATTTTCCCTTTGATGTCTCATAAATTTGTTCATTTTCTGTACACTTGGACAGTATAAAGATGAAGAAAATAAAACCCAGAATTTTGAGAAGAACTCACCACTTAAAGGTTCACCTTGCCAGGTGCTGTGACTCACCCCTGTAATCCCAGAACTTTGGGAGGCCAAGGCAGGTGGATCACTTGAGGTCAGGCATTTGCAACCAGCCTGGCCAATATGGTGAAACTCCATCTCTATAAAAAATACAAAAATTAGCCGGGCATGGTGGCAGGCACCTTTAGTCCCAGCTACTTGGGAGGCTGAGAGGCAGGAGAATCATTTAGAACCGAGGGGGTGGAGGTTTCAGTGAACCAAGATTGCGCCACTGCACTCCAGCCTGAACAATGAGACTCCATCTTAAAAATAAAAGTAAAAATAAAAAAATAAAAGTTCACCTAAGATCATGAAGAGTGTGTAGAAAGAGTCTACCCTGACAGAAGCTAGATCCTTTATGAGACTAGATGAATGCTGGATTTAAGAGTCGAGATTGAGGGGAGCTGCTAAATTAGCCCTATCATAGGTTTTAAAATTATCTAAGTAGCCAAGATTCCAAAAATGTGTCACTAGATATAGAAAGGCAGAAACTGATCATGAAAATCAGTGGAACCTAGCACAGGGCTTGACACATGAAAAGCATAAAATAAACATTTATTAAATTAATGAGTAAATAAATTAATTATAAATAAATTAACCTAAATGTTTAAAATAGTATGTGTATCAGATGGGGAACTGCTTTTTCCACTTCCTCCTCTCTTCTTCTTCTTTCCCTTCTGATTCCCATTTCTTCAAATAAAACAAATGGAGAGAAACAGTTTTCTGGTTACACCTATCTATGTATTCCTGTAATAGGAACTTCAAGGATATGCCTGCAGCTTGATAGCGAGCAAGGGTCATTCTTTGATAATTGGACTGAACCCTGTGTGATGGAACTGTGACACTTGTAGTCAGTAGGGGTGGGTGGGGCTGTGAGATTGATTATGTAGAAAAAGCCTGCAGGATTACGGGGGCTCTAGGGACAGTCAATGTTAACTCTACCCTAAAGTATTCAAATCTTCTGTACCAAGGCGGGCAGGATCTTGAGAGAGGAGGGGCAGGGAGGTCACTGAGTTAACTCTGTACAAACAAAAGAAAGCAAACAGCTGTTTCATTCCTCTAAATAACACAAGCACATGCACTCCATACACCATCCCTGCCCCTACTCCTCAGGAAGACTTTGAGCTCATCCCTTGCTGGGGAATGCATTTGTGTGAGCATTAGGCACACAGGCTGGTGAGTGGACATTTTGTTGCAGAGAATTAATTTCTGGTGAGAGATAAATATGGCTTCTAGCCAGCTCCCCTGAAAACAGAGCAAGCAATTAGTCAGGAACACTGTTTGAAACCTCTTAGTAAGTTGTGTTGAACAAAGTACTGTTGAGCAATTTTGAGTCTAGTCCTCAAGTCTCTATTTTTCTGGGAGATTCTAAAGTACAAACATAGGACGTGTTGCTTAGAATCACCCTGAAAGTGAAACATGCCATCTCTACACAAATATACAAATTTAAAAGAATTTTGATAATGCCTCGTTTACCCTGTTGTTCCATAAGAAACAGTTTGTGAGAGCCTACTGGGCCACAGGTTCCTCTGCCATTCCCCCTTTAAGCTAAATCACTTTCCTTCCAGTCTCTGTATAGTACTACTCTTTATCTCCTTCCAAAGCCCTCCAACTAAATCCTACATCATACTTCAGGCTTGTCACTGTACTAGAGTCATGTTTCCCGGGAACCATTTAGGAAAGGTTGAAATGCCTCAGAAGGTGATTACATATTTGCCATGAGCTCTATACATGGAGTAACCAGCACTTCTGGCATTTTCCCAGGGACAAAGACCATCCAGTGATGGAAACTTTGCTGGTAACCTCAGTTTGCTTTGCAGAGAAATCCTAACCTTCTAGAAGAAAGGATCCCCACCCTTGGAAAGAAATATTTTGTGAACATAGCTAAGTGGTTTCTCTTTTCTCCGCTTCTCTCCCATCTTCTTGAAGGTTGTATCTTCCTGTACACTTCTGTAGGATTTTAGACTTCTCTCCTAAAGGTAGGGTAAAGTCTCTGTCTGTAGTGATAAATCAATAGTGTTCAAAGTCTAATGGTAAGAGAATTTGCCCATCATAAACTGTAACAATAGGCCAAGGGCTTTTCAAAAATGAAGTGGCAAGAAGCTCTCACCTCTTCTATGCTTCCTTCTTCTTCCCATGCTGTGCTTTCAAGTGGGACAACCATGAAAGTTGCATGTTATATTAAGGTATTGCATTTATCTGAAGGAATGATACACAAGGAATCAAAATAAACAAAAGGGGATCAAATCTCAGGGGCATCAATGTTTTAATATCTTTGAAAAACAAAGAAACAGCCCAATTCTCTAATTCTAAAATGCCACCATACAAAAAGGGAAGGGCTGAAGTTGCAGAATAAGAATTCCGAGAAATCCTATTTTTTAAACCTAGGGATAAAGAATGGCTTTTAGTATTGAATTCTACAGAGGCAGCCCACTCTTCCAGAATCTAGAGGAAAAACAGAATTGAAATAGCAAGACACCTTTGCAGGAGTGTTGAAACAAACAAGAAAAACTTTTATTTTGGAAATACAGTCTTTAAAGATAAAATTTGGCTTCCATTTTCCATATCTAGGTGCATCCGAAAAGATACAAAAACAAACAAAACAACAAAACAAAGGCCCACAACATTATGTACAGAGCTCTAAAATGAGCTGTGAATATCTACAAGAAACTAGCATATGCTCTTTGTGAAAGGATGTAGTGTGTGGCTTTCTACAGTTCTCAGTCCCCCAGAAGAAGAGTTATCTCCCTGGAGCTGCAGGTGCGGCTGCAGCAAGGGAAGAGCTGGGGTCAGTGAAGGGCTAGGGGTGCGACCCCCCTGGTAGGAGACGTGGAGAGGTGTCTGGGGAGGGGAGCAGCGGCGGCACGGGACAGATCCTGGGCTTCTCTAGAAGTCCTGCCGCGGGGTGTGAGTCAGGCTGTGCCGCCGCAGATCACAGTTTCGCCTGAACACTTTGCCGCACTGCTCGCAGCTGTAGGGCTTGATGTCTGTATGGGTGAGAAGGTGAGTTTTCAGATTACTTCTCTGATTAAAGGTTCTTCCACATGTGGGACATTTGTGTGGAGATTCCTGTTCAGATGTGAAGCAAGCAAAGGATTAATCCTTCACACTACCACTGCACCCTTTTCAATAGCTTCTGTCTTATCGGTATCACAAGCGTTAACATAACACTCGCAAGACAACAAAAGAGGGGACTTGCAGGAACAAATCTGTGCTCCTAATCCTCCAATCATGAAAACACACGTGCAGGCATAAACAGAGGCCGATTACATTGATAACTTCGGAGGCAGACCTGCGGCCACCTCGGTGGGCTTTGTGATTTCCAGCTCTTCACATTTCATCACCATGTCAGAGGCAGGAAAAGTGGGAAGGAAAAACTCTAATCCTCTCTTAAGGAATTACATTCTCCTGGGTAATAAGGCTCCTCTTTGCTGGAAAACTAAACTATTCCTCGATGTCCTGAAAGCTACAAATTATGAGGCTCCTGGGAAAGAGAGAGTATGGGATTTCACCATGCCTCCATTATCAAAATTACTTTTATTTCCTCCTAAACACAAAAGCTTTAAATACAGGGCAGATTGGATGAAAAAAAATTTCTAAAATTAGGATTTATGATAATCAAAGTGGCCTGTTCTTTAAAAAAATTTTTAAAATGCTTTATGTTAAGATTAATTTTATGTATTAAAAAAATTAAGAGGGCTGCTTTACCCCACCTAGAGAACCAATCTAAATAGAGCCTTTTGAGAGACAGATTCTGTCATTGAACACCTTTTGTAAAGCAATAATGATAAAATGAACCAGCCACTCGTTTAAAACAAGAAGGCAAGCTTACCTGCATGTGTAAAGTTTTGTGAACTGCTAGAGTTCTGGATTGACAAAATCCTTTCCCACACTCCTGACATTTGAAGGGTTTTTCTTTGGAATGGATATACCTGCAAATTAATATAAGGTTTCATTGAAATAACTTTACCCCGATGGTGAAGTTACTTTTAACAATTACCCAAAAGTCATGGAAGAACAAAAGAAACAAGATTTTCATTTATGTTTTAATATTTTTTTTCCCTATGTAATTCAGTTTATGGTTAACCTCAACTAACAGATTCTCTTCAAAATATTCACCAGCCCGCAGGGCTTTATCTACACTTGATCGCCATCTCTGGCATATTCTGGAGTTCGAAATCCCTCCGAATGAGACTTTCTTGGCCTCCATGGTTTTCTCTGGGATTTAAACTGGCCAAATCGTAAGGCTGAGTTTAGAGGTGCTAATTTTAGTGAATCCCTTAACAGCCTTGGAGGGTGGGTACGGAAGTTTCATCTCCGAAGAACAGCAGGTAGAGTCCAGAAGAGATCCCCTAAAAAGATCTCCCCCATTCCTGAGAAGTTTTACCCAATGACAACACTAACATTATTGTGTCTTCAATTGCCTTGTATTAATGCAGAGTTTAAGGTCGTGGAAGGGATGTGGGAGCTGTTTATAAATTCGGTGACCTCAAGACCCACCCACAACGCACAAATACAGCTTAAAAGAAGGGTTCCCCTTGCAGGCTCAGGGGCGCACCTGGTGGGGGGGCTTGAGGCAGGGGAGTGGTGAGGGGAGGGAGTAAACCCCACAAAGTTGGCCGGAAGGCAGCCTGAACCGGTACCCCAGGGTCCCTCGGTTCTTCCTGCACCACTCCCCACAGCACCAGGAGGAGAGAGGATAACCCTCCCAAGACTAAGGCCCCACCGGAATGTTCCTCCCCAAGACTGAGGAAAGGCCCTCCCTCATCCCAAACAAGAACACAGCCGGCGCAGGGTGCTGGGGAAAAGGGTAGATATTGGGAGTTAGCTGAACCGGGCTGGGGAGCGTGTTTGAGGGCGTATTCTAGATCACAGGGGATTATGACGATACTTGGAATGTCTATCAGGACTCAGTGTGTCCAGGACAAATTCGCTTTCTCTCTCCCTGCCATCTTCCTTGCCCGCCTCACCTGTGATCCCGCAGGTGATCTTGCCTCCGGAATGCCTTGTGGCAGATGTCACACGTGTACGGCCTCTCGTCCGTGTGGGTCCTCTCATGGATGAGCAAATTGTAGGATTTTGTAAAGTGTCTGCCGCAAAACTTGCAGATAAACTCTTTTTTCGTTTTGGAGGGCAACCTCCCTCGAGAGGGCTTTCTGTCCGGAGTCAATTTACTGAGGCCTGAGATGGGGCTACCCAGCCCCGGGCTCAGCTTGGTCAGGTCTCCCATCTTAGGAGGATCCTCTTGCGTGGCAGCCACTGCCAAGTTGGCAAAGTCAAAACGGGGCCGGTCCTTGTGCAGGGCTGGGAGGACGTGGGCAATGGCCCCCTGTTTCGGGTGAAATAGGTGGGTGGTAAAAGGCAGGGCCGGGAAGGGGAAGCGCGCATCCACAAGCCCCTGCGCCGCCGCCATCTCCGTGATGGTGGAGCGGGTGATCTCGTGCACATTGGGATACCCCAGCGTCCAGTGGTTCATGTGCATGGTCTGCACCGCGCTGAGACCGTACAGGCCCTGCAGGTGGTCCACCGCAGCCGGGAAGGTGTTCACGGCCTGCAGGAAGGAGTAATTGGTGAGCTGCAGCGACGGGTGGAGCGGGATGGGCGCTGGCAGGGCCTTGCTCCCCATTTTCCAGGATGCTGGGGAGCTGAAGGGACCACTCCTTTCTTCCAGGACTCAGAGGCGGGAGGGCTTGGGGCTCCGGCAAAAACCCAGTGAGACAACAGCACGTAGACAAATCTCTAAAAACGACAGGGAAGAGAGGAAAAGATGGTGAGTATAATTCAAAGCTGCTCCTTCTGCCCTTTGGCACCCGCGTAGGTTACCACACCTAAGTCTCCCTCCCTACCAGACTCCAAGACCCCCGAAAGAAGCAGTGAGGGGACCGTGTAGCACCTGCTCAAATCCACATGCAGATCAGCCCTGGGCCGGGGCAAGAAGTGCTCTGCGGGTGAGCAACCCTTCTGGGCGCCCAGAGGAAAGAAGGTCAGATTCGGACTCTGGGGAGGCACAGAGCGGAAGACTCCTCAGTACCAGGAAAACGAAAGGCGGACACTGAGGCAGCACCCAGCCCAGCCCACCCTACCCTCCCGAAGCCGGTCAGGCGAAGCTCAGACAACTGCAACGCCAATACTGGCAGGCCGGGGCTAACCTCTGTCGCTGCTGCCGCTCTGAGCTCCGGGGAACGATAGGTTGACTGGTGGATCCTGTATCCCCCGCGCTGCGCTGCTGCCGCAGCGCCCTGCAACCGCCTTTCCCGGGTTTACCACGGACGGCACCTGGCGTGGGAGAGCGCAGCCAGCGCGCTCCATCCTCCTGGGCCGGAGGACCCTGGGAAGAGCCCGTCTCGCCCCACACTGACCTCAGAGGTTTTCTTTTCCCTTCCTTTGCCCTCAGTCCCATTTATCAGCGGTGACGGGCCACAGGAAAGAAAAGTGACACCTCATGGCCTGGATTCGGCCTAGAATCGCCCCCTCCTCCTATCCAGGGGCTCTCCTCCCAACCCCCCACCAAGATCCCTTCCAGATGATTTAGGATCTCAAGGGGTGGGGTGGCGGAGGAGAACGTCCCTGAGGCCGAAATCCCTTTTCCCAGGCTGCTCTTGAACTGCTTCTCAGTCTGGTACCGAGGAGAGACGAGAGGACCGAGAGAGGAGAGAGGACGCTCTGCGGAGGGTGAAGAAAGACGCTGCAGGGGAGCCCTCAGTAGGCCAGGCACAGGGTGGTCCTGCCGGCCTGCAGAAACCTAGTCTGTCGACCTGGAGGTGAGTGTGGATGCGCTCCCACCACCAGGATGCCCTGTCTGAGGTCTGCGGCCTGGGCCTAAGCATGGCACTCCCCTATCCCCATGCTCCCAAAGGCAACACAGGTCCGATTTCAGACCCACGTTCTCCGGGAGCACCTCTCCTGCCTTCACGGTGGGCCCACCTTCTCCCACTGCCAGCCCCTTTTTAGAAAGGGATTCTGCCAGCTCGTGGGACCAGGGCCTTCCCTCTGAGGGCGGCCCCCCAGGTGTAGGAGTCAGAGCTAAGCACTTGTCCCGGAGAGGGGCAACCCAGCCACTCTGGACTAACAACTGCCAGGCCTGGCGTTTGAACCCAGCGGGAAGGCAGAAGATTCCAGCCTTCCCTTCCCACCTAAACCCTTCTGGCGCTTGATTTGTCTTCTGCAGCGCCTTGTGAAATAATGCCCGCGGTTCCATCTGCGAGCCGACTTAGGGGGCTACACTAATGACAGAGTGCTCTGGCAAGGCACGATCTGGCTGCCTCCGCGGGGCCCACACCTTCCTCTGTTTGGAAGGGCTTGGAGACAGAGATTTATTAACGAATCGCTTCGGCTGGGTGGTATGCGGTCTGGGAGTTTAAGCTAGGAGTTAATGAGAGGTGTGTAACAGTCAGAGGGTCTCAGACCATTCAACCACAACTGCAAACCCCCATTAGTAATCAGCTTTCCCACCACAAATCACGATTCATTTTTGCTCCGCGGCAACTCTCGAGTCCTCTCTCAGGAAGGCAGGAAAAAAGGATTCTACTAACATTCTTGATAATCTATCTGATTATTTCCTTTTTAATTAAAAATAATAAATTACACCTTTATTTCCTTCTCTTTGCGTAATGAGGATTTTCCAGAGATTCAAAATATTATTTTTCCCTTAGTGTTGAAAAGTAGCCTCTCTCTCATAGAGAGGAAACCGAAATTATTATTTGGGTGTATTCCCAGACTAGATTTCTTAGAAATAAATACAGGAGGCAAAGCACTACTCCCACCACAGGATGATGTGTTGGGGGGGGGGAGATGTTGGGGGGAGTGGTGTCAGCTAAAGTACTGTTGTGACCTGTGACTTCTATTCCAAATGCACAGTGAACACTGCCATAAAGGTTACACTGCCACAAAGCTCAGTGCCATCTTCTTTTCCTTTTTTTCTGAATGGTTTATAAGACAGAAATTAAGGACTAGTATAATTCAGGTTCATCTCGGCAAAAAAAAAAAAAAAGTGCTATTTCATAGGACGTTTTAATTTGCAGGGCAGATAGTTTCTTCACAGAGGAAGGGCAGACCATTGGTCCCTTTAAAATCCTTTTTTAAACAGAACCAACTTAAATATCCACCACTGGCTCTTGCCACAAATAATTCGGAAGTTTAAATTTCCACACTCCCATTGAGTTGCTGGAAATGTATGTCAAAAGAAGTATTTTAAGTGAATGCAGAGATCCTAAAGTACTTTCGTTTTGTCTAGAGCTGAGCCCTGTAGTTCCCACACTCCCTTTCAGGAAATAACAGTGATCATTGCTGTCATTTCTCCACCATCCCGTTTCAGACCACTGGTTACTTTTAATTTTGGAAGGAAATAACTTAAACCAATGAAGAGGCATAAATATTTTGGTGGAGCTGAAGCTACTTTTCTTTCATCAGTCTTCTTTACAGGAATTTCCAGGCATGTGGAGAAACTTTGTAAAATTTAGTTGACTGGCTGTCAACAAGGGAGATGTGTACACACTTAGTTCAGTGAAGCTTTCACAACATTGGGAAAAAAAGGTAAGAAGTAACTTGATAAGGAGTTTTGCTCTTTGGTAATGGTATTATTACATTGAATTATCTAAAAAGAATATACAGTCAGGGTTCATCTGCTAAAACCTGTGCATCTGTATCTGAAATAAATGATTGATGGTTGGATAGGCTCGCTGAATTTCAGCTCAAACTACAACCGAATTTTACATAAATCAGAGAGCTATAGACTAAGTAGATCTAAGGAGATATTAAAAGGAAAAAAATTGTTTAAGGCCAGACTGTATCAGGTGAATCGAGAAATGGCTGCGAAGTTCCTGCCCCTTCAAAGCGCCTCTGCCTTCCCAAGGAGTTAATTAAATTAAGATGCCTTCCGCATAATCTGGGTTCTGTTTCTCTCTGCTCCCCTTGCTCCCCCAGTGTAATTTTCTTGTTCTGTGCTCAGGACTGGTTTGTTTAGCAGAGAAAGTGGCTGTCTGCGCCCTTTAGCTTCGGGAAATGCCAGCCCCCTTTTGTTCTCTGCTAACAGGTAGGAAGACAGATCAAGGGCTCCCTCGACAAACACCTTTTCCTCGCTCCTTCTTCGAACAACTGCAACTCCTTTCTCACTTGCCATTTCCCGGGAATCCGAGCGTTTAAGCCCCTGGTGAGTTTGCTTTTGGCCCCCGTCTGTCAGGACTGGAAAGTGGAAGGAAAACTTAAAAACCAGCAAAAGGTTGACGAATTACCGAGGACTGAACTATTTCACTCTGGAAACGCGCCTTCAGCGTCTCTGGCTGGGCAGGCACCGTGTGTCCGGGCCTGTCCACGCTGCGCTGCCGCGGCTGCCCCGGGACAGGTCGACCCGGGCTTGCTAGGGCAGAGCCAGAAACACCATGGTGTTGTGGGGCTTGATCTCAGTGTACGTCGACCAGCTTATATAAGAAGTCTTGCTGACTGCTTAAATATTCCAAAACAAAACTAAGAAACAGTACGTAGAAGTGTGTGTGATTGGGTGTTAGCTGGGAGTCGCGTGCCAGGGACCAAGGAAGAGAGAAATACAGTGCCCTGGGATTGCATCCCTATGATCTATTTTCACATCTGAACTTGGGGCACACCAGATCGAGAATCTGAACGCCTCTTGCACCCCCAAACCCTTCCTTCCAAAGGGCGGCTACAGCCCCTTCCCAGAGCGGACACTCACCTCCGGGAGAAAGGTCTGCTTGGGCAGCCCGGCTCAGACCTGGTCCAGGCAGCGAGGCGCACAGCTTGGAAAGATCACTGAGTCCACGTCTGGCAAACTTCTTTTCCCGCGCGGAGCGGCGGGAGTCGCGGACATGATCTGGAGGACCGCGAGCAGCGAAAGCGAGAGCGGATCCACGTCTTCGTCTGTGAACGCCGACTATGTAAAGGCCCGGGGTGCTTGGAGCGGGCGCTCAGCGCTCGCCCAGAACCCCGCGCCTCGGCGAGCCTCTCGCTGCCGACTTCGAATGAGGTTGGAGCCCGCAGCCTTGCAGGGCCATCACCCTCCAGCAGCAAGCGCGCCGAGCTCCGTCCCCGCCCGCGTCCCTCCCCAGGCTGCCCCGGGCTGGGAGTCGTGGGCTTTAGTAGCGGCCCCGCCTCCCCTTCGGGCCGGCGTCCCGCCGCCGCGCGGGGCCCTAAGCGCCCTGGCTCCGCCTTCGCGCCCGGCGTCTGCTAATGGTTCACTCTGTTTACTTGTGTTTGGATAGCAACTGAGTCTTAAAGGCACAGGTTTGCTTGAGATTTCCCTGTTACAGAGACGCAGTTGTAGGTGACTCAGTTCAAAACTCACACAAAACACAAAGCCCACCCCCTTCCTTCTCATACTTTTCCTCATACTGTTAGAAACTCAACTACTGCTTCTCTGCCTCTCAAAGACCCTGCAGAGAAACCCAAAGGACATTTAGTAGTTTTATTTGGTGCGCTCGCCGGCTTAATTTGCACATCTTAACATATTCAATACAACTACCTTCTTCGTAGAGTGAAATCAATCAGTTCTAGATTGTATTCTCCAACACAAATCACTCTTTCCCCGGTTTTAAACAGCTTTGTACATACTTTTGGTCAATTATGACTACATGTGTAGTCTGCTTTCGCCTGCTGTTTTCTAAACGAAATTTGTTTATAGAGGTGACAATTGACTAATTTAGTAATTATTGCAAAGACGTGTGGAATGCCCCAGGAGAAATTTCTTCCAATATTTACGCTTTAAGCAGCAAATGTTCATTTCATACGCAGTAAACTAACTTGGTTAAAGGAGTGGGCATCTGCAACCCATTGGCAAACAATAAAGAATCCATCTGGAATGGGTGAAGAACAATCATTTTTAAAATTTAGAAAAATGCGATTCTAGTTTTTCAAAACATTCACATCTTCATTCCCAGCAAAAATTGAGCTCACTGTTCAGTCGTCAGGAAAGTTAATCGAATTCAACGTACAGCGATACATTTTTCAAGTTCTTCTAAAGGTTTGGTCTTGTGTGAGTGAACCTGCAGAAGGCACCTCAACCACTCTGGAATGGGGGTGACCGAGTGACAGGAAGGAAATGATACACACCCATTTTAAGCAGCTTCTTTTCAGATGAAATCTGTGTGATAAAACTAAGCAAAAACGCCCTTCGTCCCAGACGAGTCGCCAGAGTGGATTTGCGTTACCCCCACGGCAAGCCCGCACTTTGAGGAACTAGATCTTCAACCAAGAGGCTGTACAATTCAAAAGTGTTCCGTCGAAAGATGGTTTGGGATGAGACTCCCCAAAGGACAATTTTAAAAAATCTCAATCGTGCGGGGAAGTAGACAAATATAAGCAGAGGCTAAAAACAGTCAAAAGGCTAAGCAGTAATTGGGGAATCAGGCAGAAGCTCCCAGATATATTTTATTAAGATAAAAATCTTCCTATTTTATTTATGCCGAGGTGGAGAGAATTTTTCGTTCCTTTGGTAAAGCATAAACAGGGGTCGCAGATCTTTTTTTCTGTCTTTCCCATTTTAAGTTCGCAAAGATTAAAAAGTGAGCTTGAAACGGAGAGCCGAGTGTTTAATATCCTACAGTACTTAACTGCTTCAAAGTAGATTTGACACACAGAACGGAAGCAGCAGAATGCCTAAGCATTTAGATTTTTTTTTTTTAATGTTTTCCCTGGTGGGTCCCATAGGGGTGATTTCATTCTAGAGTCAGTCCTGAGCCTCAGCTGCGGGATGCCTGCGGTCCCCTCTCTCCAACTGCTTCATTCCTCCCGCAGCTTTTCTCAATTTGGGAGATTTGGAGGGAGTATTCTCTTCTTTCACACTCCCCAAGTCTCACGGGGTGGTAACACGAAGAGCGTTTCTGCTCTTCACATTTCCTTTTCATCAAAGGGGAGGCAGCTCCCCAGCAGCGGGCTTCACACCTTTCCCGCCCTTAAGTGTGTGTACGTTGGTTGCGGAACCGTTTGGTTTTCCCGAGGGATAGACAGAATTTCCAACCACCGACGAGCTGCGCCCTCTTTCCGCAAACTTCCTAACCCCGGGGTTTTTCCATAAATGTGTTTACTTCGTCCCCCAGCCTGCGAAGTTCCAAAATGGAGTCTGGGCCAAGCCGGCTGTCTGGGCACGACTGCAGTCGCTTAAAAGGTAAGGAAGAGACGGTGAGCTCCAGCTTTAGGGGATGCCGCGTGGCCTGGCCGTGCCTCGGCCGCCTGCTGGCTCTGCCGCCTCGAAGGGCAGGTGCGCGCCGGGCGTGGCAAGCGGCCGGGAGGCTTAGAGCGGCTCAGCACGGTCCGCAGGCTCTCCTAGGCCACCTCGGCGCCCACCCCGGGCGGGCCCTTGCGTTTCTCCAGGCTCAGACCCAGCCAGCCCCTCGTCCCGGCCGGCGCCTAGGGCGCAGGCACTGCGGGGCCCACCCAAGAGCAGGACACCCGCCAGGTTCCCCGCCCGCCCCCAGCAGTCCCCGGCGCAGAAGATAGGCCACCGGGCCCACGGGCGAGTAGTGGGGTTCGGATGTGTGAACAGGCAAGTCCCGGAGCCTGCAGTGGCCCAGCTGCGCCCCGGGGGCTGTGTCTCCACGGAGCCGTTCCACTCCCGCCGCGGCGCCGGGGACCTGAGCTGCTGGCTCGCTCTGAAATTTCCGCTGACCCGGTCATCTGCTGTCCTCGAGGCTCTGGGCTTTCGACACCAAGGACGCTTCCAGGGAAACGGCTAAACGACGAGGGGCGCGCGAGCAGTGGCTGCCTGAACCCCGACCGCTGCAAGTTTACGCCCGGGGAGGCCGGGATGAAGGCCAGCGAGAGGAAACGCGGAGGAGGTGGAGGAGGAGCGGGCGCGCGGCGCAGGCCCCGGCCCCCTGCCCCCCGCCCCCGGCCCACCCAGGAGGCTCTGCCAGCTAAGCAGCGAGCAGGTGTCAGACACAGACTTCCCTGGAGTTGACTCTCAGCCTCTCCCACTCGTTTTCGGATCCTAGAAATTTTTAATCTTTAAAGAACACATCATGGAAACCTTATATTTTTCCAGGAATCCCAGCCATTCCTTCTTGGGACTCGCCTCCCTTCTCCTCAGCCTGTGCGGGGCTGGGACCTTTTACATTTGAACTTCCCGCACTGTTTGCCGTTTTTCGCCACAACCTGGAGGAATTGGGAGCTCAGCTCTGCTCAGGGTGCCTGCACCCTGGCCCCGGAATAGCAAGGACGCCCGGGGAGCCCAGAGGATAATTGCGTGTTCTGGGCCGAGTTGAGGGTGCGGAGGCAGGGGCAAAAGACTAAGAGTTGTATCTTTTAAAACAGCGCGTCAGCGCGGGCGCTCTCGGCAGGGCTGACGGAGTTGGGAAAGCGCAGCCGCGGGCTGTAGTGAGCAGCCGGCGGGAAGGGCCGCAGCGCCCCCTGGAGGCACGCTCCGAACTCTGCGTGGCGCGGGCTGAGGTGGCGGCCACCCCGGGGCCACTCGGGTTCGCCCGAGCCCCTTTGCTGCAGAGCAAGAGTCGCGTGTGCGGCAGGGGTCCTGGGAAGAGGGCCTGGGCCTATTATCAGGGCCAATAAGCCACTCCAGCCCTACCGTCGGGGCCATTGTGGGAGCCCCACGCGGTGCACCCCGCCTCCAGAGACTTTTCTCCTGGTGGGTTTCTGATACGAATTTTTCAGACCCACGACTCCACTACGGGCTGCCCTGACACCCCCAGAGGAGGTGAAAGACACCCGTTCTGACCTCAGCACAGGGAGTTAGCAGGCGGCCCAGTGCAGGGCGGCGCAGATTCCAAGGCCGGGGACCTTGTCCCCAAGGGAGATGCAGAGGGGTTTCCCAGGGGACCGCGTGTGGACAGGCTGCCCCACTCCCACGGATCACGCGGGGGCCTTCCCGCGTCTTCGAGAGCTGAGGGTCGTTCCTTGATCCAGGCGTCCCGCCACCCAGGGTCAGGCCAGGCCAGCCAGCCGCAGGCACCCGTGGCCAGGCCTCGCCTGTCGACTCTTCCCTCGTGGAGAGGGTGAGGAAGGCGTTTGGGGCCCAAGGGCGCTCTCCTGGCCTGCGCCCCTCGCTCTGCTTCATTCCGCAGGAGGCCCCGGCGGGTGCCCTTCCAGCCACCAGCCTGCGAGGCACTGAGTCACCGGGAAGGGTAGCTCTGTGGGGAGGCCGAGCACTGGGTCGCAGGGCAAGTTGCGTGGCCGTGGCCGGGGTGGGCTAGCCTGGGGGCGGACAGTTCCTTGAGCCGTGGTCCAGCCGGGATTTGGATTTCACAGGTGAGGCCCTCGGCTGCCGCAGCGGCTGAGCCCAGAGCCGGCGCAAGGCCACCCAAGCCACCCGTCAGCCCCTCGCTGGTCGCGCTATGCCTCCGCAACCCTGGAGCTTGAGGATGGTCCCGGAACAGGAGGCGGCGGAGGGGCAGACCGGCTGCCGCTTGTGCTGGATACGGCTGGGGCTCCGAGGTCTCCAGGCCCGCACCGCACGCCGGGGGACGGGGGTCGTCGCGTGCTCCTCCGCCGGGGGACGGGGGTCGTCGCGGGCTCCTCGCACGCGCGGCCACACGGCGTGCATTCACCTTCCAGTGACTCCCAGGGAAGGGGATCTCCTGTAGTTTGCCTCGTCTGAGAGAGCCCGGCCCACACCCATGATCCCGCGTCCAAGGCTGCTTCGAATTCATGGTGCTTTTCGAACCGAGCGCGTCAGTGTCTGTGACAAGGAAGACCAGGTTTACAGACGACATCGCGGTGGAGGGCAGGCCCCAGGCGCCTCCGGGGAGGGGGGCTCTGCGCACTGGGCCCCTCTGTGAAGGCTCCAACTGTCCAGGGCTAGACTAGCCCGGCTGTCGTGCTCAACCTGGTTAGAAGACGGATAACAAAAAAGAACATCCTCGGAAAAGACTAGGGCATGGTCTGCAAATCTCTATTTTTATTAGGCTTTCATGTTGTGTGTGTTTTTCAACGCACTTGCCAACGCTTAAATATCGGGAAAATTCAAAGGAAATCTTGATTTCCGATGACCTACGTTCCTACGCGGCAGAGAGTTGGCTGGAGCTGAGCAGCTGTACCCTCCCATCTTCGGACTTCTTTTTAAAAGGCCGGCCTTGGACGTTCCTATTCCCGCTGCAGATTTCGTTTCCCTGGAACGCTGGGATAGGTCCGAGTTATCCTCTAGAGCAGCGGTTCTCAAAGTGTGGTCCAACAGCAGCCGCATCATCTGGAACTTGTTAGAAATGCAAACTCTCTAGCCTCACCTAAGTCAGAAACTAGGAGTGGGGCCGGGCAATCTGTGTTTGAGCAAGCCCTCCGGGTGTTTCTGATGCATGACAAAGTTTGAGAGCCACTGACCTAGATCGAATAGACATTAGGGTCCATCACGGGCGGGTGCCATTTATCTTTCCCGTGCATGCTCTCTCTCCTGCTCCATCCCTATCTCTTCCCTCTTCCTCCACTAGAGAGAGTGCACGCATAAACGCATCTGCTTTAGGCAGCTTATTCATTAATTCATTCAGTCACTTACTTCTCATTCATCAGACTTTCTAAAGGCACCTCCAAGTACTTGGAAACGTGCTGAGGATACCTAGAGGAACAAGGCTCGACCCCTCCCCGCAAGGAATCGGCATAAGATGGTGGGGGGAGCAATGGAGAGAAAGTGTGGGCCGATGTTTGTTGTTAATTAGTATTTTTATCTAAAACTAGATCTGACTACTATTTCAGGAAATGTCACACCTCATTTTACAGTTTCTAACCATTTGGAGCACTTGCCTGCCTTCCTTGTCCATGCCAATGTCATTCTCTTATTTTCATCACATTTTAGAGATTCTGTGTGTCTACTGCACAAACTTCCACACACGTCTTGGCACACATTACCTACACCTCGCCTACCCTCTCTGCGTTAAGTCAGAGGGCGTGGCACTAGGGATGAGGGAGTGTCACAATCCGAGAGACCATGGGGTGGGCCAGGGCTCAGAGTCTCTGTGCCCCTGGATTACCCTGATGTTGGGCAGGATGGTCTGAGGATAGCTGGAACTGACTCATATGTTCCCTTCATTCACTTGGTGCACACTAGCTCCCACCCTGCTTCCTGCGGCCCCAAATTGCCTAGCTCTCCACCTTTAGGTGCATCCAGCATTGAAGTCCTGATTTGTCACCTTAAGATAGAATCAAGTCCCTTTGCCTTTTTCTAGGAAGTACAAAAGAGTCTCTCTTCTCCCCCAGCTAAAAATCTTAATGACACTGGCACTTTCTAGTCTTCTTATCCCAAGTCAACTTCCCTTATGATTGTTCACTTTTGTACTTTCTCTCTAGGACTTTCACTTGAACTTCTGTCCTCAGCCAGCCAAAGAACCATCTCCACCGGACCATTTGCTTCCCTCTGGGATTTTCTAGTTTGGGGCAGTGAACAGTAGAAGGCACTTTGCCTCCCCCAAATCCTGTCTATCTAGAAGCTTCTTGTCATCATCTATTTTCAAGTTTTTCTGTGTTTTTTTTTAAGCTTTCATTTTAGCGAGTCAGTGCATGGAAGCCACTGAAAACACATACAAACAAAAATGAATTTTCATATTGACCATAGTCATAAATTGCACAAAAGTATCCATCATCTCCACTTTGACAAAGAGTTGCCATTTTCAAATGATCTTTTCTTATGGGGATGCTCAAAATATAAAATGAATAGTGGTCAGAAATGTAGTCATCTGTTTACTACCAGTGATCATAGTTCTTTCTTCTTTCTCTCTCTCTCTTTCTTTCTTTCTTCTTCCTTTCTTTTATTTATTTATTTATTTATTTTTTAGACAGAATCTCACTCTGTCGCCCAGGCTGGAGTGCAGTGGCACAATCTTGGCTCACTGCAACCTCCACCTCCCAGGTTCAAGCAATTCTGCCTCAGCCTCCCAAGTAGCGGGGACTACAGGCACCCACCACCATGCCCAGCTAATTTTTGTATTTTTAGTAGAGATGGGGTTTCACTATGTTGGCCAGGCTGGTCTCAAACTCCTGACCTTGTGATTCACCAGCCTTGGCCTCACAAAGTGCTGGGATTACAGGTGTGAATCACTGCGACTGGCCCAGTGATCCTATTTCTTAACAGAATTTTGCTTCCCAGTGCAGATGGTTTGATATAGTAACATTTGAAGCAGCCAGCCCTTAGGAAACACCAAGGCCTATATTTGAATGCAGATACAAGTTTTAACAAAGGAAAATGTAGTATATCCTTGTAGCTGTTTGCCTATAAATATTCCCCTGAAGGATTAATACACTATTCCTGAATCTAATCCAAGTCAAGCCAACTCTAAAAATCCTGTGAAGTACCAACTCATAAGGCACATACAATTCCTTTTCAATAAATATTTTTGAGTGTCTACTATGTACCAGGTACGAGGCAATTGTGTTACTGTTTGAAAATTTGAACTTTGATCCTGACTTGAG